TAGGGAGTCAGACCTATTTCGAGTCTTGAGGTTTCATGAAAGGAAGGGTTTGTTTCACCTAGGGCAGGATTGTTTTGCTGCATGGGATTATGGATTCGTCTTCTTTGGGTTAAATGGATTTCTTTTGGGTTTAGTCGCCTTTGAGAGGTTGTGGTATGTTCATGGCCGTGGTTGTTCCCCTCAGGATGTCGAGTATGTCGGGGATGGTAAGGAATGATTTTGAGGACGAAATCGAATTTAAATGGGGGGGGGGGGAGTTGTAACACCCCAGTTTTCATGTAATTTGAAATCCATCCCTTGAGATTTAATTATGTCACTTTTGGTCCTTGGTTTGGAATGAAGTGGCCATGAGAAGCCCTAGTGGCAAAATGGTGATTTATGGAGCAGGAGCTATACGTTGGGCGTACTAGGACGCGCCTAGTATGTTGGGTGTACGCATATGTACGCATAGCGTACGTATGTCCAGATGAAACCCCTAATTCTTGATTTTGGTGAGGTATTTAAGCATCTTATGGACCATTTCTCCCATATTTTTCCAGCCTCCATGTCCTTGGGTCATTTTGGCAAACCCTAGCTTCTCTAGAGTGTGTGTATGAGCTAAGAGTGTGCTTTTTGTGTGGTTGGAGAAGAAGAAGTTGCATCAAGGCGATTAAAGAGTGAAGCAAACTTGTAGATCTTCGACCAACACTTCATGAAGAGGCTCCAAAAGGTAAAAATCATCTACCTTTGTGCTTGGATTGCTTAGATCTTGTTGTAGTAGCTTTTTGGTGTTCTTCTTGTCCCAAAAATCCCATTGTTATGCATGCTTCATTTTAGACGTTTTGGACTGTCCTTTCAGACCCTAGGATAGGTTCTAAGACATAAAAATGAGGTCCCTTGAGCTAGTTTGGTCCCTTGTTCTTTGTAGGAGGTCTTAATGGATCAAGACCATGTATTAAGCCATTTTTGGTCGACCAAAGTCTTAAAGTTTGAGACTTTATGGTTCTAGAGTGCTTTTGAGTCATGGATCTAAAGTTTGGGCTTAAGTGCTTAAGCCATTAAGCACTTAATAATGTTTTTGGGCTATGCGAGGGTACGCCCCGCGTAGGGAGGAGTACGCCCCGCGTACTTGGTCAGCCTCCCCGTAACTTTGTCAAAGCGAGGTCTCGTGTACGCTGAGTGTACCTCCGGCGTACGCACCACATATGCGACTGTTTTGGATTCCTTTGCTTTAGGCCTCGAGTATTAGGCCATCTGTTGGGCATTGATGCTTGGGCCCTAATGGACTATCTGGAAAGGTGTATTTTGGGCTAATTAGAGAATCAGACCTTTGGATAAGACCCAATAAGGAGTTGGGCCCAATTTGAAAAATTGGGCCAAGTGTTGACCTTGAAGTAATTTGAGCCTTTTTGGATCAAGATTCAGGTTGGTTTTCTTTGGGTTATGTTGGGCCGTCTGGGATTTTATGGTTTGGGCTTTTGGCTTGATGGATCTTCTTGAGTGAAGGTCATGAAAGGAGTTAGGCCCAATTTGGAAAATTGGGCCATAATCGGACTTAAGGAGTTTATCTTGATATGTGGCCTTTTGTCATCTACTTTGGGCCTTAGCTTTGGGCAAAATTTGAGGAAGGGTAAAAAGGTCTTTTACCCTGAATTGGACTCGTATTATGATTCAACGACTAGATGTTGATGAACTGTCATTTTGGTATCTGTTAGCGCGTGGGTGATAGCAGATCTGCAACTAGAGGTTATTCATGGAATCAACTATTGATGGGGTGTTGTCTTGATGTGGCAGTTCGGAATCTGGCAGCTAGCAGCCAGGGATCGTCTATGTGATCGGCAGTGCGATGTGAGTTTTCCTCACTAAACTTCCGAGTCGAAGGCACCAAGGTCAACCTATTGGTTTGATAACTTGATATTGCTGATATGCTGAGTATGATATAGTTATGCATGCTAGTCTTGTTATGCTAGTCTGGTAGATCTGTAGGACTACCTGTGAATTACCTGTTTATCTATTATGATATTATCTGCTATATGTTGACATATTTCTGTGGGTAGGTTGAGGTAGTACTGCTTCGTGCTATAGCCAACAAACCTTGGAGAATTGGAGATATTAGATGAGGGCTAGGTAGGGCATGCCAGACTCATACTGAGGGGTCAATAGCATTCCAGATAGGAGTTGAGGACCCGGTTGGTATGCCTTGAGGGTAATGGAGCAATCCAGATATGAGCTGAGGGCCAGGAAGGGCATGTCAGACTCATATTGAGGGCTCATGGGCATTCCAGATACGAGCTGAGGCCCGGGTAGGGCATGCCAGACTCGTACTGAGGGCCGGGGAGCAAGCCAAACATAAGTTGTGGGCCCAGGGGGCAAGCCAGACTTATGCTGTGGGCTCAGAGGTAATCCGGTCTGTTAGTTGTGGACCCATTGCATGCTGTTATTTTGTATATGTGCTATTGTTTGTGTATTTGTACCTTGGGGGAACTCACTAAGCTTCGTGCTTACAGTTTTGGCTTATGGTTTCAAGTTCTTCAGTGGATCGTGGCAATGTGAAGGCGTGACCGTACACATCCTCATGTTTTTGGAACTTATGGTTTCTGGGATACCCTGATAACATTATTGTTTTGAAAACTATGTGTAACTGATTCCGGTTTTAAATAAAGGTTTTGGAAACAACGGTTTTGTAAACACTTCATTAATAAATGAGTTGTTTTGAAAAGTTTAAATTTTACAGAAATTTTATGGATGTTACACAATTTCACAAATTATTTTATTTTGTAAGATTAATATATTATATTAGTTTGGTAATTTAATCTCTAGTTTTTTTGTCAAAAATAAAAAAGATTATTAATTTATTTTGTTATTTGTTAATTGTTAGCTAATTTTGTGTATATTAACATAAAAATAATTTAAAACATCATATTTAATATTGAGGGGTTTTAAAAAATAAAAAAATAAAATAAAATTAGTGTTACTATTTTGATGTATTGGTTTTGGCCACTAGTTTTAGTGTTTGTGTTCTGTCCCTGCTCTTGACCACAACGTGGATGCCACGGTCCATGATAGGGTATACTCGGATGTGTGGTCTTCTTATCTTTGAAGACAACTGAGTGGGGGAGCTGAAAGGGCTTAAATGTCAAACCTCTTTTCAGATTATTCAATTTATTGCTCTTTCTTATCAGCAAGATACCTGGAAATGAGATTTAGATCCTAGTGTAGGATATATGATGGCATGACAAGAAAATTCATTGATAAAATCACACTTCTTGTGGACGCTTCATCAACAAAATGGAATAATTTTGTTCCCAGTAAGGTTAATGTGTTAGTTTGGAGTTTGAAGCTGAATAAATTACCGGTTAAAGTCAATCTTAATAAGAAATGTATTAACGTAGATACTCTTATGTTCCACGTGTTATAAAGAGGTGAAATCCTTAGATCACACATTTTCATGTGTGAAATGGCGATAGAGATTTGGTCCCGTTTAGCTTAGTGGTGGGGTGTTCACATGACAAACATTGCAAACTATAATGACCTTGTAACGTGGAAAACACGGCTTAATTCATGATTTGGCAAAAAAGATATTTTCATGTGGTTCTTACTATAAGTTTTTGGACGATTTGGAAGTTTCGAAATGAAACGGTTTTTTGGAATGATGAAATTGAAAAAGGTTTGTATTCTTGATTTTATTGTCACACGATCTTTTTTATTAATTGAATAGGTTGGCTCATGAAACCTTATAAATCTATAAACACTGTAATTCTCTTTAACCATCTTATTCGTTTTTTTATTTAACTTCTTGTGGTTTAAAAAAGAAACACTAAGCCAATAACCCTTTTGTTCTCCAATTTTGAGGGTGTGTGATTAAGTTTATTTAAGAAGCTTATTAGCTTAATAGTTGTTCTATATTTTTATAAACTACAAAAATGTTTGGATAAAAATAACTTATTACGGTAGGAAACCACTAATAAACCATTTTTTCATAATTTACATCATTCTAACTTATTAGCTAATAAATTAATAAAAATAAACAATAATTTTTTTTTTCAAACACCATCCTATTTAGCCCTGTCGAAAATACCCGATCTCTGAATTACCCGCCCGATTTTTCAGGTATCGGGTAAATCGGGTCGGGTTAATTTTTTCCGATATTCGAGTAACCTGATTTTTTTTCAGGTCGGGTATAGGGTACGTTTGTTGGGTTTCAGGTATACCCAAATTACCTGAATTATTTTAAAAATTCCTTTTTTTTTCCTTTTCGTAGAGCTTGTACTCTGTAGCAGGTATTTGATCACGCTTAAACTAACTATCATTATTGTAAAAGATGAATATCTTTTATTATGACAGTATGACATCAACAATATTAAAAACAATTGTTTATATGTCAATATGTTCTTTAAAACGTAACTGTTTTCTAGATTATAGTTTTTATTGCAACTAACAAACTCATTATCTTGACGAAACTTCAGAACATGACAAAACTTATGGCCACCATTATCTTAAACATTTTAAACTTTTAAATTAAGATCTTTAAGTATTTGTTTTTAACACCTTATTAGATTAGATTAATCTGTTAAAATATTACTTGATATCTCAAGTATTATATATTGACTAAAAAATCTCAATGTTTAAAGTTTTAGTAACTTCGTTTATGCCTCGTTTGTTTATATAAACAAGACTAATAGAGCACGACATATTTATTTCATTAAATTTATTTTCAGGTGCCATTTAAAAAAAATTATATATTTCGGATAATACCCGAATTACCCAAACCCGACCCACTACCCGAATTACCTGAATTTAATTTGGGTCGGATAACGAGTATTTTTTTTAACATGAAAAACCCGAATTACCTGACCCAAATTACCCGAAACCCGAAAAAATTACCCGATAACATCCCAATTCCTATTATATAGCACTAAAATTATTATTATTATTATTATTATTTTATTTTTTTTAAACCACAAAAAATGTGGATGATATTCACGATACTATCCTAAATTCCTAATCTCTTCTCATAGTTTCATGCATACAAACACACAAACACCACTTCAAAAAAATCCCAAAATTTTCCTTCGTTCTTCCCAATTCGTAAATCGTAACACTCACCTCCAATACTCACATGGAACTCTCTCTTTACCCCAATAAGCCATCTCTTCTTACCCCTTCTTTGTCCTCCATTACCACTTCAAGTAAGTGTATCTACATATCCTATTCGCTATCTTTTATAATTGATGATGTCTATTTGTCTCAGGAGTTTGCTCTTTAATTTGCAGAAAAGGGATCGCCCCATAAAATTAGGATTGCATTCTCATGTAATTGCTCATCATCTTCGTCAGAAGCTTCTGTCACTACAGATGCACCATTTTTTCAAATCGACGGGAGGAGAGCGTTCATGAATTGTTTTCTTGCTGCAGGTTTTGCTTCATTCAGTGAATTACTTCTCTTTGTCCTTCACATTTGTGATACTGATATCATTTTCCTTAAAAAGACGAGCAATTAATTAGGGTTTAATTTGCATATAGAACCCTAAATCTGGTTTCTCAATTGATTTGGTTATTAGCATCAGAATGTAACCCTAGATTGTGTTACTTTTAAAACAACGCAAACTTCTGTTAAGTATCTAAATTATGGATACATTATGAGTTGATCTTCATTACTTCTGTTTGAAGGTGTAATAATCAGATAATCAGTTGTTTGAATGTTTTGAAAATTTTAGTTATTCAAGGAATTAAAAGACAATATCACTGAAAAAGACATTCTTATATCGATCGATTATTTAATGAGGGGTAGTATAGTAATTTAAGGTTTTCCTTAATTTATTGTTTATGTGCCTAATGCTTGAAAATTAATTTCTACAATGAACAGCTGCTGGTTTTTGTGTCACTGGTGTAGCTGATGCTGTTAGTACAAGTAGAAGAGCTGTGAGATCCTTATTAATTATATATAAATTAATTATATACACAAAATCATTTAATACAATTTATAAAAGTTTTATTATCTTTATTGCAGCTTAAGGGAGCAAAAGTGCCTGAGAGTGAATACACAACCCTTTCCAATGGGCTAAAGTTAGTAACTTACTTAACTACAAAGTACAAACAACGTTTATTTTCCTTTTTTGGTTTAATAATAAATTTTATTATAATTTTATAATTACTCCCTGAATAACTAAAAATAGCTAAAAAAGAAATGGGTCGAAAGTTGTTTAAAGTGTATTCAAAAGCTTAATCGCTTTGTTATTCAGATTTTCATTTTTGTATTATAGCTTTTGTGAACATATTAAGTTCATTAATTATTTATAAAGTTAAAAAATAAAGGGCAAATTACAGAAAAAAACCATTTTTGTATTATAGTTTTTGTGAACATATTAAATTCATTTTTTGTATTATTTATAGCTTTTGTGAACATATGAAACCTTATATGACATATCAAAATGGTTAATTTGGAAAAATGTCTGAAATTTTTATGGTTCAAATGTTCAATTGGAAAAAAAAAATACTAGTGGTCAAAGTCAAACCACAAGATTACCCAAATTAAAATGTTTTTTTTAATTTGCCCAAAAATAAACAAAAATTGTTGGTGGGTCAACCCGACCCTTTTTGACCAATTACACAACACGCCCATTTTTCCACTTCCATTTATTATTATCAAAAATAATAAAAAAAAATTAATATTATAAGTTAATTTTGTTTAGGTACTACGATTTGAAGGTTGGAAATGGTGTTGAAGCTGTGAAGGGATCTCGGGTTGCAGTACGGTTTGTGTCCCAATTTTATATTTTTATCTCTTATTGCAAACTTATATAACTCTAGTGCCTATATATATATATATATATATATATATATATATATATATATATTTCTATTTAGTCCTTTCATTGTATTACTTTTTTAATAATTCAAGGTCAAAAAGGTACTTTACTCTCGCTACCAATATAGGCAATGCACTTTATTTTTTACCCGTAGTAGCATTGTACTTACAGTTCTCCACCAATAATAGCAATGTACTTTATTTTTACATTTTTCTACCTATATATGGTCATTATACTTTATTTGTTATTATTTTTAAGGAAATGTAACTATTTCGCTAATATGAGTAATGAATTGTATTTGTATGTAAGTTGCTATTATACGTAAAGAAAATATAAATGGTTGTTTGATATGCCTCTTACTGGGTCTGACTTAGTCAGGTCAGATTTAGACTGTTTGATACCATACTTAGCAGCCTCTGACTCAGTCATCAAGACAGACCTTGACTCAGTCAACAACTATCAAAAAACCCCTAAGTCAGACAATGATGTTGTAGGTACACTATGTTGCTAAATGGAGAAACATCACTTTTATGACAAGCAGACAAGGGATGGGTGTTGGTGGTGGAACGGTAATTAGATTTAAAATCTAAATTCTAAAAAACTAAATGCAAGAAATAGCAACCTACTTTCATTTATCACTTTCATTTCTTTTTTTTTTTTTGAAAAATCTACCCGATTATAGCATTCTACTTTCTTATTTTATCTTTATTATAGCCACAAAAATTGCTTTGTATCAGAATGACATTGCCATAATTGGATAGATTTTTAAAAACTACAATGCTATATAATAAGGAAGAAATGAAAGTAGAATGTTGCAATAAAAAAAAAGATCATTATATTTAAGGCAGTTTTATGGTTTAACCACTATTACTTTAATTTTCCAATCAAACCATAAAAGTTACAAATAATTTTCCAAAATAACCATTTTTCTGAATTTTTTTTATACAAGATCGCAAATATGGCAAAATGATGGTATAAATAAACAATAACCAATTCATGTTTCTTGTTACCTCTACTTTTGGATTTACATTGATAAAAAATAGTCAAATCAAAAAGTTGACCAAATTCCATGATTTTTTTTTTATTTTTTTTTTTCAGCCTTATGGGTTTGATGTCGGTGAATCAGAAAGAGGAAATGTCCTTAAAGGGTTAGATTTAGGTGTCCAAGGCATGCGAGTAGGAGGACAGGTACCCTAAACTTTCAGCAAATGTCAAAACCACCCCCTCAACTATAAGCTAAATAGTCAAATACCCCCTGGATTTTGAATATTTGAATATTTGATTTATAATTCTTGTAGCGACTGCTGATTGTACCCCCGGAACTTGCTTATGGAAGCAAAGGTGTGCAAGAAATTCCTCCAAATGCAACCATTGAGGTATGACTACTGATGTGAAATGACGTAAATGCCCTTCTCGTAATATGAAAAAGTTAGAGTTGGTGGATATCTTTATCTTAAAATATCAAGCCTACTTGTATTCACTTATTTTTGTGTGCATCGGATTCACTAGGGACTTTATTCACATCTTGACTGGCGTGGGCCCCTTTTGAATAATAGCAATGTACTTTTTTTTATTTTCTTTTTTCTTTTTTTTTATAGGGAAAATTAAAGAAAATCTTTTTGGTTTTGACAATTTTGCGGTTTAACCACTTTTTACTTAATTTTTTTAATCAAACCATAAAAGTTTCAAACATTTTTCTAATTCAACCATTTTGACTGTATTAGGTCAAAATGGTTAATTTGGAAAATTACCCATGAAAAAAATGTATTAAAACTTGTATGGTTTAATTGAAAAAATATTAGTATTAAATTAACATTCTATTTACAAATATTATTCTTAATCAAGCATTGTTCTTTGTAAAATATACCTGATTACACCAATAAAATTTGCTTTGTATGTGAAGATTTTTAAAATTACTAATTGTAATATGCTATAATTAACAAAAAATATGTGAATGTTTGTTGTTATTTCTTGCATTTTATCCCATTTGAACAATCATTCTAAATATTCCCTATAATATCATTTCCTCCCTTTTTCCCCTATAAAGTCATTTTGCAGTTTAATCAATCTTTTTTTTTTTTTAACAAAAGTTTGTTTTTTTTAAACAATGCAGATAGATATTGAATTATTGTCCATCAAACAAAGTCCATTTGGGTAAGTATAAAATAATAAATTACTCAAAAAACATTATTTCCCTTGCATTTAAATTCAAAATACTTATAATTAATCTATATGTGAATTTATCCTTTGTAGGACTCCTGTCAAAATAGTTGAAGGGTAACATGAATATTCTATATTACCTTTTGTTGTACAACGAGAAGATCAGAGGGTGACACGTGTCATGATAAAAATTGGAATATTATTTATATATCACTTTATTCGGGACCATGAAGCTGCTTTTTGTAGGTTCTTGGACTACCATTACTTTTCTACTACGTGGCATATTTTTTGTGATAGTAGATCTTGTACATTGATGTTTCATGGAAGGTATATAATTATAAACCTTAATGCAAGAACTTTTGTCAATTCCATAGATATTCATATTCTACTTTTATGTCGATTTTTCAACAATTTGTAGCAATATCGATTTATTTTTGGGAAAATGACTTGTAAGCCCAACAAAATTTCTAAATCGTTCAAAAAACCCTAATTATGTTTTGTATGTTCAATAAAATCCAACGAACTTAACATTTTGTATAAAAAAACCCAATTAACTTACACTTTTGTTCGATTCTCATTAGGGTCAATCGGCTAATGAAAGTCAATGAATGACATGGCTTATGACGTGGAATTAGATATCAGGAAAATGAATTGTAAGACCAATGTAGTTTCAAAACCGTTCAAAAAACCCCAATCATGTTTTGTCTGTTTAAAAAAACCAATGACATATGCTTTTGTTCAATTCTCATTAGAAGCAACCAGATTCATTAGGTATACAAGTAGTTGGCAAATGACATGACATTATATTTAATGACATGTAATAAATGGATTAGAATTGCCCTTTAGATATCGATTGCGTCTACTATAAGAGATCGAACACAGACGGAATCAATATATAAAGGGCAATTTTAATTTGTTTATTCCATGTCATTAAATATAATGTCATGTCATTTGTCAACTAATTATATACATAATGAATCTGGTTACCTTTAATGATAATTAAACAAACGCATAAGTTCGTTGGAGTTTTTTTTCTTAAACAAAAGGGTAAGTTTGTTGGGTTTTTATAAACAGACAAAACATGATTGTGAGGTTTTTTGAATGGTTTCGAAATTTCGTTGGTCTTATAAGTCATTTTTCCGATATTTAATTTGATGTCATAAGTCATGTCATTCGTTGACTTTCATTAGTCGGTTGACCCTAATAAGAATTGAACAAAAGTGTAAGTTAGTTGGGTTTTTTTTAGACAAAATGTTAAGTTCTTTAGGTTTGGATTTTCTTGAACAGATAAAACATAATTTGAATTTTTTGAACGGTTTGTAAACTTCATTGGGTTTATAAGTCATTTCCTATTTATTTTTCACCATTGAGATGCGTTTGGGGAATTTGAGGGAAATAATAAATGAAGGCAAATTTGTAAAAATTAAAACTTTGATGGAAAAGTCATATATTCCTCATTTTTTCTATTAAGTAATTTTTTCTATTAAGTAATTGTTTATGTATTGTATATATAAAAAAGCAATAGTGATTAGACATGATGGAACTCGACTAGCTAGGGTTATTTTTTATAATGAAAATAAGAAGGTATTCTTGTCTTTTATACATACAAACATTCTAGAATGAATATTTATCGTTCTATTTTTGTGAGTTTTGCCGCATTACATCTAATAAAAGAGTATCAAATGTAATATGTCATGTCTTGTCATTTGCGTTCCTTTTTCTAAACATTTTCTCCATAGAAATAATTTACTTTAAGCCCCACACACTTTAGTAGTTTTCAACATAAATTCTTTAAACCACATTTTCATATTTTATTTTTTAAAAAAAAACCACTTTATTCCAATCTTTTTACCCTTTATTTAACCTTCTATCTTTCACCCCTTTCACACCCATTTCTTTCCCATTTCTCTCTTTCCCTTCAAATCCAAAACCATGACTTTTCTTTTCTTTCTCATTTCCTTCTTCTTCTTCTACTCTTCTTCTTCTCAAAAAATTTGCCCCAATTGTGGCCTCCAAAAAGTCCCATACCCATTAAGCACTAACCCCAATTGTGGTAATCCCGATTACACTATCAAATGCCAAAATCAAAAACTATACTTCAATGCCCTAAATGGAACTTCATATCTTGTCCTCAAAATCAACCCCCAAACTCAAAAACTAGTGATCCAAACTCAACCATGGTTACCTAACCAATGTATAACTCAAGATTTCCCGGTTAGTGAAGGACTATGGTTAAACCAATCACTCCCATTCAACATATCATCCCAAAACACCATTTTCATCTTCAATTGTTCCCCTCGTTTACTTGTGTCCCCTCTTAATTGTACTCGGTCAAGTCTTTGTCATGAGTATCTGGAAAACTCGGGTAGGGTTGACCCTGCCCGAGTTCTCCAATGTGCAAATACAATCAACCCATGTTGTACTTTCATTGCCGGAGGTCTCCCGTCGGCTTACAAGATCCGGTTACATTCCTCCGGTTGCCGGGCTTTTAGAAGCATTATAAATTTAGAAAAAGAAAAACCCGCGAAAGAATGGGAAGAGGGGGTTGAGATTCAGTGGGCCCCACAGCCGGAACCTGTTTGTAAAACTCAAACCGATTGCTCCGGTGAGTCCAAGTGTGAAATTACCGAAAAGGGTATATCCCGATGTATTTGTAACCGACGTTATTGTTGGGATCACGTCCTCGGAGTCTGCTCGAAAAAGGGTATCTCAAAAACTGGGTTTCCGGTCAAGATTTCCATCGGGGTGGTCTTGTTTTTTGTGGCGGCGGTGGTGATGGCCACCGTGACAATCAGAAAATCAAGAAAAATTCGCCAGAAAGCTGAGGTGGCGAAAAAAAGAGAAGAATTGTTCAAATCGAACACCGGGATGAAATCCGCAAGAATGTTTACGTTAAAAGAATTAAAGACATCAACAAACGGGTTTTCAAAAGATCGAATTTTAGGAATCGGTGGATTCGGTGAAGTTTATAAAGGCAATCTGCCAGATGGCACGATCATAGCCGTTAAATCTGCAAAAGTAGGCAACATAAAAAGCACACAACAAGTCCTTAATGAAGTCGCGATTCTTTCTCAAGTCAACCACAAGAATCTTGTTCAACTTTTGGGATGTTGTATTGAAGGCGAACAGCCGCTAATGATCTATGAGTTCATTTCCAAGGGTACCCTTTACCATCATTTACACAAAGAGTCCTCCAACTTTTTAAATTGGCAATTAAGGGTAAAAATATGCTTACAAACCGCCGAAGCTTTAGCTTATCTTCATAATTCAGCTCATACTCCAATTTATCATCGCGATATAAAGTCAACTAATATACTTTTAGATGATAATTATAATGCAAAAGTTTCCGATTTTGGCCTTTCAAGACTGGCTCGACCAGGGTTGAGCCATGTCTCGACCTGTGCTCAAGGGACATTGGGGTACTTGGACCCCGAGTATTATAGAAACTATCAGTTAACCGATAAGAGTGATGTTTATAGTTTTGGGGTTGTGTTGCTTGAGGTTTTGACTACGAAAAGAGCGATTGATTTTGAAAGAGGGGAAGAGGATGTGAATTTGGCGGTTTATGTGGCTCAACGGGCAGATTTGGTTATGGAGGTGGTGGACCGGCGGTTGGTTGGGGAGGAGCCGCCTGATCCAGTGGTGGTTAGTGTGAAAATGTTTTGCAAGCTTGCTCTTGCTTGTTTGAGAGAGAAGAAAGGGGATAGGCCAAATATGAAAGAAGTGGTTCAAGAACTTCAATCTATAATTGATGTTTTAAATCAAGAAGAGGTTTCAAGTGAGACAAGTGTAGTGTCTGCAGGTTGACTTTGACTTGACCTTTAGTTTTGATTTGGTTTAGTCTAGCCATAAGTGAGTTGTCGAGTTTAAGCCAAGATATATCCTTCTTATTTTGGAACACATACCTTTTTTTTTTTTGAGTTTGGGTATGTATAGATGATTTCCATTAGGGTTTTTTATTTTATTTTATATTGTGATATATACTTTTTTTTTATGTAGAATGAATATGCATAGTATAGAAAGGGGTATGTGGTGTGAATGATCATGATGATTAAATAAACTTCACCTTTAGTTACTATGTTAAAAAACAGTACTTGTTTGGTCTAGCATAGGTTTATGAAATTAATTTTATGATTATGTGATATCTTTTGCTTTGATTATTTTTGTTGATCGAAGTTATTTACCCATATTAGTTAAAGCAAGACCAATAATCATAATTGATAACCGATCAAAATATGATCAGATGGATAAATAAATGGCAATTAGTCAAAAGTAGCATTATTATTTTTTCAATATAGAGTGTGGTTTAATTTTTGTTCATGATATGATGATAACAACGTCTATATACATATTTTGCTGATCATAACAATATGTAATCAAAACTTGCAAAATGTATTTTGTTATTTACCCATCATACCAACGTAATTAAATGCGCTTTTACTAATAATCGTAATATGTCATGTGAAACTAGCAAAGTATACTTTGTTATCACTGATAATACAGCGTACTTAGATACATCTACGGATACTATTAATATGTATCAAGAAATTTATAAAATTTATATTGTTTACCCATAATATTAATGTAATAGTATTCTTTACACATAATATCACCATATTTTTTTTAGGGAAATTGAGTAATCTAACTCTTACAAACAACAATTTTAACAAAAATAACCAACAATTTTTTTTTTTGGAAAAATTGAGTAATGTAATGTAATAGTGTTCCGGAGCACGATGATTTGTTCCGGAGGTGTGCTCTGGAACACGATATTCCAGAGTATTTATAATACTGTTCCGAAGGGGTTGCCGGTTGGTGGGGATGAGGTCCGGAATCTGACACTCCGTACATTTCGAACTGGAAAAGTGCATTCCGGACTGACGTCCGGAACTGCCGTACATTCCGGAGTGGCGTTCCAGAGAGATAGAATTAGAGTTTTTCTATGTTTTTCATCGAAATATGCAATACATTTGTGTATTTAATATATTTGTGTGTTCGATACTTTCGAAAAACGTTCCGAATGAGTATGTTTACGGGTTTTTTCCGAGTTCCAGTTTCTAGTGGAGGACATTGGCAGGATATCGATAGATATATGCAGTATCTTGCTCCGGATTACACATGCTTTGGTGTAGATATAATCAGTGATATCAACTTCGTTGGGTTAGTTACGTTGGTTGCTTCCAAGTCCAGGTTAGAAACAAATCAAATTCGTTTATCTTTTCAATGTCCTGAATCAAATATAAATATGCAGATTCTTGACGATAGTGATGTTAGAGATTTTCTTAGTTTTGTTACTATTATGTCTCCCAACACAGTACACTTGTTTGTTGTTAATAATGTTATGGATAGTGGTAGTAATCGATTTCCCAAGGAGTTTCGTTCTGGAAATGGTTCTTCTAGTGCTGGAAGTAACAAAATTTGTAACTTATTACCTATGGCAACCAACCATGTTCCTTCTTACAAGGACCCTATACATGGGGGTGATTACATGTCTAAAGGTAAGGTTGTTGCTCATGATGACCTTACTGTTGATGCTGATGAATCTGCGAATGATGAGGCAAAACTAATGATGTTGGTTGATGATGGTAATATAGTTCCACATGGAGAGCCAGTGGAACATTTTCATAAACAAAGAAGAACTTAAGATTAATTTAGCACTGAAAAGTATTAGTGAAGGTTTCCAATATAAAGTGAAAAAAATCTACAAAAGACAGGTTTGAAGCTGTTTGCTATATGGATAATTGTAACTAGCGGATTAGGGCAACAAAACATAATACTACTGATTCATTTCAAATGGGTAAACTATCGAAGAAACACACTTGGTCAAATACACAACTACGTCCCCATCACCGACAAGCCAACGAAAAGGTATTGGGTAACTTCTTGAAAGGTATATTAACTGATAGTACCGATAATATGTTGCGGGGGAAACAGATACAACGAACTTTAAATGACCGTCTTTGTGTACATATTTCATACTGTCAAGCATGGAATGCTAAAATGTATGCTCTAAATCTATTGAGATGGTCCCATGAAGAAAGCTTTCTTAGACTACCTATATACTGTTATAACTTGGAGAAGAAGAATCCAGGGATGGTTACACATGTAAAGACGAGTGATGACAACAAATTTGAATACTTTTTCATGGCTACAGGTTGCGCGGTAATATATTTTATATACCTACTTCTTTATATGTAATATCCATACACATGCGTTTGTTTTAATTAGGTTATTAATTACTTTTTTGGTTCGAGCATTTCAAAGATGTTTGCGTCCTATTATTATCATTGATGGTTCACACCTTAAAGGGAAATACTTGGGCACCATGTTCCTTGCAGTAGGTATGGATGGTAATAACCAAATCCTTCCTATTGCATTTGGTGTTGGGAAAACTAAAAGTGGAGAGTCATGAATTTGGTTTTTATCAAGACTCAAAGAATGTATTAGGGACATGCCATCTTTGGCTATCATATCAGATAGATCCAATTCAATTGAAATGGCCATTCAAGCTGTAATGCCCGCAAATTCGGGTTAGTCAATTTAGAGACAATAAGCGTTAAAATGAATTTTTGATAGAAGATTATTTAAGATAAATAATCTTAAAAAAAGATATAGTATATGTCACAAGGATTTCATACATATAAAGAACGCTGAAATCCGACTTATAACGAAGAAGTTATGACCCGTTGAAGTTTTACGAAAAAACTGGCACGACTCCTGCGTATCGTAAAAAGTAAATTTTTGAGAAATTACGTTTTAGCCTTAGTAATCTAAACGAAAGTCGTAGTAGCCATTAAACCGAGAGCGTGCATATAGAGAACATCAAAATCTGACTTCATTTGAGGAAGTTATGATTTTTCTAAGATTTGGCGTAACAGTGTACAACTCGGAAATCGAATTTTAGATCGGTCGATTTTTAGCCAAAACAATCTAAATGAGAAATGAATATATCTTTAATAATAAAAAGACAGTCGAAAACAGAGCTCGTATGCGGAAGATATGGACGAAACTTAGTCCCTACTCTTCGAGCGCGGCGAATTCGATACAGATTTGTAAATCCGAGATAGAATGAGAACTAGCCGATGGAGTCTAAATGAAAGTTGTAGAAATCGTAAATACCAACACGGGGATATAAATAACGTCGAGAATAGAGCTCGTATGTTAAAGATATGGACGAAACTTAGTCCTTACTCTTCGAGCCCGATAAATTCGATACAGATTTGTAAATCTTAGATAGAATGAGAATTAGCCGACGGGGTCTAAATAAAAGTTTTAGTACTCGTAAATACCAACGCGCGGATATAAAGAACGTAGAAAATGGAGCTCGTACGCGAAAGATATGGACGAAACTTAGGGTCTACTCTATGATTAGACCCCTATAAATAGAGGATGAATTCTTCATATTTTATTACTCAATTCCTCTAGATTCTTTCTACAATTCTTCTTTCTTTCTTGTTCGATTTCTCCTAGTTTTAGGGTGTGATAGAGAAAATCTGAGTCATCAAAAAGCCGACGAAAAGAAGTTTTTAGAGTTAGAGTTGTACCCGTGTAATTTCCCGGTTTTTGTTAAAATCCTGTAAGTTGAGCTACACTATTATGTTTTCAGTGTAACTTATATTTATAGTCATAAGTCGTTATTATAAACCAATAAATAAGATTTATCAGTAATTCCAAGTCGTTATACTGATTGATCTACTTACGGGAGAGGTGTCTAGAATGGTTACATTGGCTTGGTTGTTGGAGTTCAGAAAGGCTATACGCCGAAATGGTTTTGCCTCCTAACTGTCCTACCTGGTTAATCCTTACTTGATAGATCATGAAAGTAGAATTTGAGTTAAGGATAAATCTATACTAATAATTAGTCGCAATAAATATTAGACTAAAACTTAGTGATAATAATACTAGGTTACGTCGATGGAAAAGACAATTATTAGAAGCGAAGTGCTGCCCAAATTTCGAGTCGTAACTTTAACAAGTGAGTGCATAGTTACTTTCGTATTACACATAGATATGAAGTATTTAATATTAATACATGCTATATGTGCTTATTATCTGTGTTCCTGATATATATGCTAGATGAACGATTTATACATGTTTTATGTGATTTAAGCCGTATATGTATTTTTATACCTATAAATATATTGGGTAAAGATAGGTAGATTAATGATGAGAGATGAAAGATGATATAGATGATGAGAGGTGAAAGATGATGAGAAGCCTTGAATTTGAAGTTGAATAAGTCATCTAGAAAAGTATAGATGACGTCCACAAACTATTCTAGACAGTCTAGTGGAACGCTAGCATGCTCGCAACCTGTAGGTGTTTGTGAACGACGTGTTCACCATATGTACTCTAAAAACCCTGACAACTATGGACTTAGTGCCTTATGAATATTGGTAGCTATGGACTTAGTGCCTAATAGATAACATTGGCAGCTGAGCCTAATGAATAACATCGGCAACTATGGACTTAGTGCATGTTAGATGAACCCTGGCAGCGATGGACTTCATGCCTATTCCTTAGGAAAATCCTTAGGAATAAATATTGAAGAATAGATGATTCTTAGGGTAGATCCTTAAGAATAAAGAAGATAATGGGATGGGTAATTGGGTTAATTGTTTGAAATGAAGTATGTAAAGAAACAAATTAACTATATTATTGTGGGTTGAAAACCCTATGTACTCACTAACCTAACCCACTCAGTTTATTTGTATCATAGGTATCGATGCGAAGATACATTACACTGATAGATTAAAGGAGATGTAAATCATTAGTGTAAATGAATGTAAGGTCTGTTTATGCTTATG